GTATGAGTCACATGTGAAGTGACGTCACGAGTACGATGATTTTTCGCTGGAATTGTAGTCGTTTTTAGAATATGTACAATACAAGGTACTGTAAGTCTACATAGTTCTTACAAGTTCCCTTCGCCTCCACTATATCAGTGAGTCTGTTTATTTTGATGTCTGGATAACTTGGATCTCTCCCAATAGTTGCTGTACATCAGGCTGAGATGGGTCGACAGCTACATATACCGCACTGTCTTGTGYTGATCCACTGACAGTTGTTATGACAACATCACTTTCCTCCATTACGATCTCTGATTGGTTGCTTTGTATTGCGACTTGATCAGTGATTTGTTCCTAATGGATAAGGACACAAAAYCATAAAACATGACTTCAGTAAAACATGTGACCACTTTACTACCACAATGCTTTGCGTRATGTTTTTTTGGTATATTTTTAACCATTGACTATATTTCAATACTCTAACTTAACGAATGTCTGAATGAACAAATAGGAAAACAAAAGTGATACCCAGCGAGGTCGGATATAAATTTTTCCGAATTTATTTCCAAGGGTCTTTCTCCCTTCTTTAACCTCCTTCCTAGCACTATAACATTTCTTTATTTCTATATCATGTTTATAATCTTCACCTGTGTTATAAGCCGTCCCAGTCCTTGTTCGTCCGTGGTTGACGTAGGATCGTTTGATACCTCAATAACTTGGACGTCATCTTGCGACAACACATTCTCATTGGTGCCGGTGTTTGACTCGACGTGTTGTAAAGCAACTTGGTTGACGATTTGCTCGGCAAGTTCTGGGGTGATCTCGGGTAACGAAACTATCAAATAAAAACAGAAATACCTAGATTAGGGAATGCGAAATAATTATCAGGAGGGTGAAAAGAGCAGAATAGTTAGTGTTCCCCCTCTCACTATTATCTCAATATTATGCCATGTCAACCAACAGGAAAATTAGACTACAACTTCCCCTCAGTATTTCCTGCTTTACGGTCCCAGAGTAAAAATCATCTATAATCTTACTAGTTCCTCGTTTGTTGAGTTKTGTGATCGCTTTCAAACTAACGTTAGATATTATACCCCCCCCCCCCCCCTTCGTTGGACGTTGGACTTGGACGTTGTTGGCCCCATCTTTTAATTCATAAGTTTAGACTCTGGATACTTACTCCCCCCCTCCTATTGATAATTATTGCGCAGTCCCTTATGAGACTTCTTTAACTAGTTTAGAACGGTTTTCAGAACGAGCCTAATTAAAATTTAATTATTTTATCATCTATTAATATCATAATTTCTATTTCTAGATTATTTTGAACGCGGAAAGCTCAATCCGCTCTCTAGATGCACCCTTGAGAACTGTAAACYAAGAATAGCCTTGTTTGGTTCGCCTCAAGCTTCCTGTTGTGCGCTATGTAGGTCCATTAAATACTGAGCAAAGACACGCCGTTTGTCTTCCSTKTAACATACTAGTAGCCTTACCAGTAGTGACTGAACTGGAATCATCATCACCATGACTGCCAGACCGCTGAGCTTGATTCAGTATATGCTGAGCTATAAGTAGCTGTTGGGCCAGGGTTACCTAGACAACCGAAGAAAGCCATTTTAGATATTTTTGTCGAGTAACCATGTAGAACTGTAGACGATGCGTAGGGGAAACAATGGACAATCTTTTAAATTAAAATGTAYTCATTTATTTTCCCTGAGTCTCGTGACTGAGTGGTCACTGAATAAAAAAATGTAAAGTCGGATATCGAAACCATCATCATCGTTATATATAGAGAGTATGTCCTTGCATATATATCTCTCTAAAGTCCGCTATTGTAATCAAGCCAATTGTCTCAAATCACGTTTTTGTATTGCTTTCGTCGCCCTATTGCACTATGACGTCACAGCATGTTTAAAAAGAGAGGCAGGATCTTATAAAACAACATAAATTTGGAAGAAATCTTCTTTTTCTCCGATAAATTGTTTTTCTTTGATCACAGCGATTTTCTTTCTTTTTTCCATTCTGTCAACCCAGAAGTACATAACATGGTTATGTACTTCTGGTCAACCATAATCCTTAGCGCTAGAACGTTTTAATGTGAAGTCATACGGTAATTCCTCAATAGCCGACCGGGACTCAAACTTATATTTTTGAAAGAAAAAAAATACAATTTTAGAAATTGATTTGACTTTGTTTCAAGAGGATGTGTCATCGTTGGTAGTAGATTTTCACAAACTGCTTAAAATTCATTCGAAATGTTGTDAACTGAAGAGCGAGAAAGATTGAGACATTGTGGAAATTACAAGAAATATGAACTAAACGCTGACCCTTCACTGGGATGTCGCCGGTTTTTCAAGGTTTTCGACGTTGCTTTACTCGCACTCAATTGCAGTGTTGAGGGAGATCAGAGTTAGTACTAACTCTGGTGAGATAGCTCACCTTAAACTCTCCACCAGTCTGACCCTGTACCACGATATGGGAGCCRCCTGTGGTGTCTGACAGCTCAGCGCTGACATTTTGAGGAATAATTTCTCCCAAAGCTTGTGTGACTTGTTGTAATAGGGACGTGTCGGTAGATTTAGGTGCTGTTTGCTTGCTGGAATCCTGCTATAATAAACAAATATCGTTAACACTGTGCTTTGGCAGGTAGGTAACTTGCTGAACACCGTGATAAATTATAGGCCGCCCCCTAGTTTACATCCCGCGAGGCACGGGATAAATTGAACACAACTTCACAATGTGAAGTTAGACTCTCTACCAGAAGGAAAAGACGACCCGAAACAGAGAGGAAAGAGAAAGAATTTGGTAAAGTAAACAGAATACTAAACAGCAGCAACATCAGTATTTATCGATGGAGGCTGGGGCCGTGTTTGTGGCTGACCCATTGGCTACTACAAGAACGAACCGTCTSAATTGGGCTTAATTTATGGACGATTATTAGTCTGACGACTGCCTCATGTCGCCATGTTATTATATGATAATTTGACTGGTGCCCAAGTACATGGGAGATTAACAATTATAATAAAAACAAGAGAGCCAACAACAATGAAAGGACGAAGCAAGTGAAGGTACAGAAGAAACACAAAATCCTTAATTAGGATCCCTTGCTGGAGAACAAAGAAAGATTGGGAGAACAAAAGCACGAATACCGTGTATCCATCATCATGACTATCA